CACAGCTGGGCAATCCTCTGAAGGTGGAAATGTGCGGAATGGACCACTGACGACACCTGGGTCTCCATGGTGAGCGCTAGGTCCAGATGTACACCCAAGCTGCGATCCTCACTCTTGGTGGTAAGAGTCACCACCACCCCAAAAAGAGAGGGAGTTTCCCAGACCACCCGAAGGACCTCCGTCTTGCCCAGATTCAGCCTCAGTCTGTTCTCCTGCATCCATTGCTGAACAGCCCCTAGATAGCGCTCAAGGGACGAGACAGCATTCACTGTTGTTGGAAAAAAGGAGATGTAGAGCCTGAGTATCATCAACATACTGATGACACGAAGCTCCACACGAAGCTCCTTAATTGCAGTCTAAGGTCATGTGGGGACCCAAGGTAGGGAACCACTGCTCTAAAACAGCTGCAGCCTTTTTGTGATTTACCTTATACTGTTACGTAGTCAGGGATGTTGCAAATCTTTGGATCTGAGTCTTTGGTATCAAGCCCTAAGCCCAAGGCCCTATTAAAAACAAAATTTCCCCAGAAAAACTGGAAGGGGTGGGTGCGTTCCAAATTGTGGGTCAAGTCCAAGTCATTGAAAAACAATGAATCGAGTCTGGATTGAGTCGCCAGTGCGGCTTAAATCTGATTTGACAGTCCCACAACTCAAGTCTCCATCCCTGCATACATCACATGTGAGGACCACCACAATTCATGGATTTCATTTACTTCAGTGAAAGTTGCCTGATTGTATAAGGGCTGGTGTCACCTCACTACATTCTTGGTCTCCCTCCCTCCCTGCTTCTTTTCTTTCTCTTTCTGCTAATTTTTCCTTTTAACCCCTTCCCTCCCCAGCTGCCTCTTCTCCTTGTTCCCTAAAACAATAAGACTTTACAAACATTTCACAGGAGTTACAGTGCCTGGGAAGAGAAAGAGAAGGAGTAACATTTCTCCTTCCAGCTATAGCCTTCCTCCCCCAAAGACACCATGTGTTGGTGTTTTTAAAAAAGGCTAATTGCTAAAAGGGAGGGTACCCTTTCCCAGTTCTACATTACTACTCCACCCCTGAGGGTGGGGAGAGTTGCCTGAGGAGGAGGGGAGGTCCAAGGCCATGGGTTCAATGTGGATGCAGTACTTCTATGGTGGAAGAAATACTATTAATGTCAGTGGGGTTTGCTTCTCTGTGGACAAAATACTGCCCTGTAGTTTCTCTAAAGGCATACATAGATTCATGTAAGTTATTTTCAGTCATGAGATACACTGAGAACAGCCAAATTCTGAAAACAGTTTAATATTTTCATTTCTCATTTCTTCCATCTCTGAGCCTTGGTTTCAGAATGTTGTAAAATGAAACTATTCCAAGAATATGCTCTTGTGACACAAAACATATCCATGTTATTTAAGATTTAGCCAATTAGACACCACTTCCTGTTGCTGATAAGGTCACGTATTTGTTTATTTATTTATTTATTTTATTTTATTTATACCCCGCCTATCTGGTCATTGCGATCACTCTAGGCGGCTTCCAGACAATATAAAAATATCTATACATATGCCAAAATAAGAAAAGTAAAACAATATTAAACAATAAACAATAAATAGTAGACAAATTCCTCAAGATGGGAAAGTACCAAAGAATGTGAAGGAGAAAAAAAATTAAGTATTGACAGAGTGGGAGAGATATGATGATATTTTCTCACTCCACTAAGGAGTCTGGCCGCCGCATTCTGCCCCACTTAGAGCTTCCGCATCAGCCTTAAAGGTAGCCCCACGTAGAGTGCATTACAGTGGTCTAATCTTGAGATTACGAGCGCATGCACCAAGGTAGTCAGCGCCCCGACATCGAGATAGGGTCGCAGCTGGGCTGTCCACTGAAGATGAAAGAAGGCGGTATGGACCACCGACGCCACCTGAGTTTCCATAGTGAGCATCAGGTCCAGATGGATCCCCAAGCTGCGGACCCCACTCTTTGCGGCAAGGGTCACCCCCCCCCGAAAGAGAGTTTCCCAAACCACCTACTGTGGGGGTGCCTACCCTCAGTACCTCCGTCTTGTCCAGGTTCAGCCTCTACCCATTTTCCTGCATCCATTGCAGTACAGCCTTCAGGCAGCGCTGAAGGGACAGAACGGCATCTCCTGCAGTTGAAGAAAAGGAGATATAGAGCTGGGTGTCATCATCATACTGATGACATGATGCCCCATACCCCCTGATGACCCCACCCAGCGGCCTCATATAGATGTTGAACAACATTGGGGAGATAATCGACCCCTGTGGAACCCCCACAATTGAGACTCCACGGGGCCTAAACACTCTCCCCAAGCTGTACTCTCTGGGGACGGTCCTCCAAGAAGAAACGGAGCCAGTCACATACGCCAGGCCACCAATTCCCAACTCAGAGAGCCTCCCCAGGAGGGTACCGTGGTTGACGGTATCAAAGGCTGCTGAGATGTCAAGGAGGACCAACAGAGACATTTTGCCCCTGTCAGCCTCCCTCAATAGGTCATCGTACAGGGTGACCAATGCCATTTCTGTACTGTGGCGCAGCCTGAAGCCCGACTGAAATGGGTCCAGGGCATCTGTTTCATCCAAGTGTGCCTGGAGCTGGTCATCCACCACTCTCTCTACCACTTTCATCATGAAAGAAACATTGGCGACAGGCCTATAATTGCCAATTTTGTCCGCCGCCAAACTAGGTTTCTTCCTTATGGGCCTAATTAGCCCTGAAGGAAAGACCCATTAATTATTACAGTGGCCCATTCCATTGTTATAGGCCTGTCTGCTTTGATTAGCCAGGCCAGGCAAGGGTCATGGGAGGAGGTGGTGGCCTGACAGTGATAAAGCTCCTTGTCCACAGTGTCCGGGGTCACAGGCTGAAAGCAATCGAAAGTCACTAGGCAAGACAGCGCTGGACATCTCAGCTCGGCTCACTGTATTTAAAAAAGGAGAGAGGTCCCGGTGGATGGCCTCCACTTTAGATTTTTAAAATGCTGCAAATTGGTCTGATGAAAAACTAGGAGGAGGCCCATCACTCAGACCAATTCCAGATAGGTCGCACACTATACGGAATAATTCCACCTGCTGATTTGAAGTTTCGCTTATTCGGTTAGCGAAGTATGGACGACTGGCAGCCTTTACCTTAGCCAGGTAAAGGTTAGTTGCAACCCTGACAGCTATCCAATTATAATCCATTGGGTTCTTCCTCCACTTGCGCTCTAGCCTTCTCCTAAGCTGCTTCATCGCTCAAGGTTCTGGTTAAACCAGGGTGCTGGCCAAGCTCTGCGCTGGAGAGGGAGTTTAGGTGCGATCATGTCTGCAGCCCTGGTGGTGGCGGTGAACCAGCCATCAACCAGTGCCTTGACAGGAGTGCCAGCCAGGTCAGCCGAAACACCTCTCATGGCATCCTGGAATCCAACTGGATCCAGTAGCCTTTGAGGGCGGACCATAGAAATAGGTCCCTGCTCCCTGCAAGGGGGGAGAGCCACTGAGATGTTACATTTTATTAGGTGGTGGTCTGACTTTCCTCTAGTACCTTAATAATTTTTTCTTGTTCCCCCATTTTATTGTTTTCTGGAAAAAAAAGTTGATGATAATGGATTTATATCTTGTCTCAATAAAAAAAATGCCTGGAGGTAGCATATCAATTTTTTTTAATGGAAAAAAACATGGGAAAAACCCACAACTTTTAAAAAATTGAATGAATAGAAATCTGCTTTTATGTTAAAACAAGCATTAATTCAGAAAGAACTTTAACATACAAGTTAAAAGACTATATGAATAGTCTTACATGCCTGCAGACAGACACAAGATTTGGCCTAGATTTTATGGAACTATACACCTATGGAAAGCCTTCTATAGAGACTGTGCAGTCACAGAGAGGATTCATTTAGGAGGCTGCGAGCAATGACACTGAGATGCTGGTATTCTGGGATTGGGGCAAGTAGCACTGAGCTACTAAACTCATTTTTGATAGCACTCTCCCATTACACACAGCCACACTTTAATTTGGGTGACAACATTGAATACAGACAGTGACTGATGCTTTAAGAGCCTTTCCTTTTCCTGTAGTTTATCCTAAACTGATAGCAGTACTGTTGATGTCTCATTTATGCTCAATAACATAAGGATTGTACTTCAGACTCTAGTGCCCTCTCAAGAGGAAAAAATCATGGGTCTGTCATGTTTTCAGAGACATTCTCTGATGCCCCAGCCTTAGTGACAAGGCATACTTTTCCCATGATGGTAGTGGAATCTGTTCACTTAAAGGGACCAAAAACCATTAAAGAGGTTACTATATTTGATTACATACTGTCCAAACAATTTACTGTTAGAGTTAGCAGAGTTCTTGGTTATCCCTAGAACCATTTGACTATTTGATTTCATCAAGCTAAGAAACTTGTATTTTACTCTCCCATTTGTCTTTTGGTCTGTTTATACAGTCTGACACACTTATCCATGTGATCAGTATCAGAATTGACTTATCCATGGTCTGAAATGTTAAAAATATTAAAAGAAAAAAAAAACAGAACCCCCCCTATTTTACATATCGCATAGACCAGATGGACGGGATATAAAGAAACAAACAAATAAATAAATAAATGTATTATCATAACTGGCCGCTAGAGGGAGCCAGAGACTGTGATATGAATACAGTACTTGTTAGTGAAGAATACATACTGTGGTCTCTGGTACCCACTTGTGGCCAATTCTGGTAATTCATGTGAAAGTAATCCCCCCTGCCTTTTATCATATAGCATTCTATATATATATATATATATATAGCATTCACTATTATCTCCTCAGAGTTTGAAAAATGATCCCTTCTATATATATATAGCATTCACTATTATCTCCTCAGAGTTTGAAAAATGATCCCTTCTCCTGCGAAATTAAACCCTAAAAATCACAGTGAACACAACAGGGCCCTGTGGAGCCTGTATAAGTAGACATCTGAGGCAATCTGACAATGCTAATGCATTTTATTCTTACCTTGCATTTTAACTTATCTCATTTCTTCTAGCACACAGCAGCTGGTGCTGAAGGAGGGGGACAATCACTTGTTTCTCCAGGTAGCTGCCTAGAAGACTTCAGAGCAACCCCATTCATTGAGTGCAATGGTGCTCAGGGGACCTGCCACTACTTTGCAAACAAATACAGTTTCTGGCTTACTACCATTGATCGCCAATTTCAGCATTCACCTTCATCAGATACACTCAAGGCTGGACTAATTCGAACACACATAAGCCGATGCCAAGTTTGTATGAAAAACTTGTAAAAGAAGAAGAAGAAGAAGATATTCCTTTGTTTTGGTTGCAAGGAACAAATCTTGCTGGTGCTTATTTATATTATTACCTCAATAAATTAATTTTTTGGAGTAACAAGCCACTACATATGCTTGTAACCAAAATGTAGCTCTTGTATCAATAAAAATAATAGACTTAGTTTTTGGAGTTGAAACAATAGACAAGAATTAAATATTGAACACATTATTTGTCTGATGGGTGTGTGTTAGAATACTAATTGGACTTTAAGTAGAAATTACTGTGGGAACTGTTCTGAGAACTGAAACACGTGTCATATTAAAGTTTAAAAGCATTCAAATGCAGCTGTATTTTCTAGTTGAAAGACTTTGACTATAATCCAGGACAGAGTTAAGTATGTTTTAAGACAGTGGTTCTTAACCTTGGGTTATTCAGGTGTTTTTGGACTGCAACTCCCAGAAGCCTTCACCACCAGCTGTGCTGGCTGGGGTTTCTGGGAGTTGCAGTTCAAAAACACCTGAGTAACAGAAGGTTAAGAACCACTGTTTTAAGATTCAATGATTTCAGTGTAGCACCTGTTTGCACTTTACGTTGCAATTCAATTTTGAGTTTGTTCTTTCTTACATATATATTTTTCATTAAATAGTGCTTCATATCCATAATACTTTTAATAACTTAACTGTACATTGTTTCACACGTATAATTCTTTCCATAGTCTATGGAACATGAACAAGTATGCTTTGTGCACGTCCCCAACATTGACTCAATATGCTGGCAATTTGGAGAAAAAGTAGAAATTGCTGTGCACACAACCAGCAGATGGTCAATATCCTCTTGTGGAGCTCCACAGGCATAGTGGAAGTGATGTCACCAGAGGCAGCAGCAATAGCAAATTGCTGCTAATTAAAGAGTTCCTTTTACATTTTCAAGATGCACAAAATTCATGAAACAACATCATATGCATCATATACTCCTTAATTAGCAGGAATATGTCACTGTCAATGATGTCTTTCCTGCTGTGCTGGAGCTCCACAAAATGATACTATCCAATGTATTAAATTAAGTCTAGAGAACAGATGTACCTCTGTCAAGATGAAGAGAGTTGCAGACCATGAGGGGCAATTTATATTCCACCAGATGCTGGATTGCAACACCAGAAGTTGTGATTATAACATTTGGAGGGCCACATGTTTTCATACACTAATTATACTTCTACACTTAGGTTAGGCATCCTTCAGTCTCAAGACTATAACGTGCTCTGTGTGGAGGACTTGGAACAGCATCTAGTGTGGCTAAAAAGGCCAATTTGAGAGTGATAATCCCTTCCCCACTGAAGACAGGACATGATGGCGCCGTGAGCGGACGCATTTCTGTACAGCTCCGATACAATCACTATTACCTGGTAGATTACCAACCCAAACAGAAGTCTCTCCCCTGTTTTTCTGCTTCTGTTTCTTCCTTTGGATAACATTCTTTGAAACTATGGGGAAAAGGAGAAGATCCAAACACCCCCTCAGCCAAGAGAACTCGCCGATAAAGACATCAAAACAGAGGCGGCTGGAAGACTGCCCGGCATGGTCAGACGCTGCAGAACCAGAGGGTGAGTTTGCTAGACCTGGCTCTCCCGGTTCCCTAATCAGAGATTTCGCAGAAGACCAGTTGTTATCCTCCTTGACTTCACAAGATAAACATTCCTCACAAACTGAGAATGCTTTTAGCAATTTCTTTTTAACTCTGCTTGGCGAACACTGCGTAATTACTGGGGAGACAATTATATATATATGTCAACAGCTTAATGCCATTATAGCTCACCTGGACAAGCTCAACAAGACTATTCTGCCCATATCTTTATGTCCCGGACTAGACACAGGACCTCACTCTAGTTGCCTAGAGAGAAACAGAAAATTAACCGTACCTGATACTCGGATGTGTGCAGAGGTTTCCAAGGGGACATGCCGCTCCCTAATGAGAAATCAAATTGTGTTGGAGGTCTGGGACACCCCGTTAAACAAAGGTAGATGGACAAATAAGCAACATGTGCTCAATTCACTGGGCAGCCTCTTATGCTTGGATAGTCATAAGATTGATTTATTAGAAATGACATGTCTTCCGCGGTGCTCCCGATGGCCGCGCTGCCTCCGTGTGCTGCTGAAGTTCAAAAGTTTCAGAATTCCTCGTTTACTCTATGAGAAAAAATATCTTCTCGAATTCTACAATATATTCTTGCGAAGAGTGTTCAGCGACACGCCTCTTAAACCACTGATATCAAAGAACATGCTGAAATGCTCTTTATCAGCTTCCTCTGAAGCTCCAAGGACAAGACCTGGACAGCTGCCCAGCTCTCAGTTAAGAGGTAACGGCCTTCAGAATACAATCATTAGAGCTGACTCTCCATCTGTTAAGAGCCCAGGCGTTCCTTCTCTACTATCTGAACTAAAAGCAGCAACTAACAATATTGGAAGATCCTTAGCGAAGCTAAAATCAGCTCATCTTGAGCCTCGCGTGGAAACACACTTGTCTTGTCCCAGTCTAAGTAGTGCCCAGCACATCGGAAAAGGCAAAGGGAAGAGGAAAAGCAAGGAATTATGCAATGATTCTCCTCCTGACCCTTCAGAATCCAAGTCTACAGCTGATGCATTGGGAATTACTCTCCCTGGGGCAACAGCACCAAGCCCCTTGTCCAAACATAATACCTCCACTATGGACCTGATCATTCCTGAACCAGACACATCAGCAGATCTGATGTCACTAATTTCGCCAGCCAGACCCTCAAGTGAGACACCAGGCCAACTGGAAACAATTGGCATTTCCTCAAAAAAAGTTCCATCGGGGGAGACACTGCCTAGGACGAAGCCTAAAGCCACCCCAATCTTGGAGCACCTCTCTTGGAAGCCCATTGATGTGTGCCCTCAGACTGAACCATTGTCCACCCTACCACATATACAGCCCAGTTTCAGCTCCACCAACGGTCCTGACCCAGGAGAACTTCTACTGCAGCTTGATATCGATATAGACAGCGAGATTTTGCCTAGCGAGGCCATTGATGGGTTTAAAGTGCTACCACGAGAAAACCAGAATCTGGTGCTCAAGAAGGTAGAGGCCTTAAGGCAGGAGCTGAGGACTCTGGTCGAATCCTCCCAGCCCAAGAGCACCCTTGAAGGATCCTTATCCCCTCGGGGGACGAACGCCTCTATCTCGTCGATCTCCAATGAGCCTACAATAAGGTTAGAAGCCTGCAAGGGCAGGACCCCTCCACATAAGGAATACACCCAGGCAGTGTTGCCTACAACTACCTGCACTCCAGTGGGCCCCTTGTCGCTAACCTCCTCACCGTCTACTGGTGCCCAGTTCACCAGAGGAGCACAAAGAATGCAGGATGACCAGCCAGGACACGACAACAGAGGCTACAGTGATCTCTCTCAGCCCCCTACTCTCAGCAAGGAACCACTGACATCACTGCAAGTGCCCTGCTCCTCATCTAATCCAGCTAAGGTGAGCGTGGACATTCACAACCACAAGAATCTCAGTGACTGCCCTACGGTCCCACTGGTTCTGCTTGAACCCTCGGCTACCTTGGCTGCAGACAACCTATCCAGGGTGGTCCCATATGCAGACAGTCTGCCGCTGAAGCCGATGATGTGTACCCCACTGCTGTCTGCAAACTGACATACTGCCAACTTGCCCTCCGTTGGCCCATCTGTTGACCTCAGACTGATTTCCTGGAACGTGGCGGGGTGGTACAGGAAACTGCAGGACCCTGAGTTCAGCGATTTCCTCCGAGGCTATACCATTATCTTACTCCAAGAAACGTGGGCAGCTCATTCTATACTACTATCAGGATATGCCTCATACTCCCTTCCAGCACAAAGGCGTATGGCAAAGGGCCGTCCATCTGGGGGTCTAGCAATATTAGTTGCTGACTCCCTATCTTCAGATTTCGTGCTCACAGTTGATGGCAGTTGTAAAATCCAGGGTATTAAACTTAAAACCAGGAAC